TAAAATCTTTTAGTTAAATGTAAAAAAAGTTTTGGTGAGTAATTAGTTAATTACTTAACGTATTCGAGAAAACGTTAAATAGCGAAACACAACTGGTTTACCCGGTTAAGCTACTGAGCATTTTAGTAGTTTGAAAATTTAAGGCATGAACTGGCAATGGATATCCACATTGTAATCACCATCACTGGTACTTAGACAACGTAACAATACACGACTGGTCTAACCGGTAAAGCTATCAAGTTGATAAATCGATGAAAACTGTGAACGTGGCGATATGCATCCCAGTTGTGAGGGATAAGCCACAGGGTAAGTGTTTTGAACGTGGCGATAGGCATCCCAGTTGAGGGATAAGCCACAGGGTAAGGTGTTAATTTTATGAAGGTTACTTGTACCAGACTACAACGCCATTCGAGGACGAAGGCGTGATTCAGATCGGCCGAATGTTGGCGCTGGCAACACTGTATACCGGATATGACGTTATCTACTCTAGCCAAGAGACACATGGTCGCATGAAGCATTGGTCACTTGGATTCCGGCTGCGTTCCCGGACGGTGATATAACCACTAGTGCTGCTTGTCGTTATAATAGTTGTTAATATTCAAGTTCAGTAATAGTTAAAATATTAGGATCAAGGTAAAAACGTTAGAACTCTTATAAAATGAACTCACATGAGGATAACTTTGAGTTATCAATTTTTCCAAAACAAAGAATTTTAGAACATCATTACGTATAAAACTTTAATCTAAAGTTCATTTGTAAAGGGCGCAAAGCATATGAATGGGTTGAATGAATTTGAAAGAGATAAAACATACTGTTAGAAGGAGAGGCTTGTAATGCGGCGCTGTGGCAACGAATGAAAAAGTCTCTGAATGTATGAATCAGTCAGATGTATAGAATGCTACAAATTTTGTTTCTTTTTTACTTAATTAGTTTGTTTGAAAAATATTTTTTTTAATCATGGATTTTTTTAACGTTAATATTTTTTTATGATTATTGGCAACTAGCGTTAGACGTGTGTTCATTTATTGTCGCAGTGGTAACGACACGCTGTATATGAACTCTGATTGAAAGAGCCTGGAGCGATCAATTCATTACCAGAGTGTGTTATCATATAAATAACCATTAATATTATAATACCCTTTAAAGAGCCGTGATAGCTCAGTGTCCGAGCGCTCGCCTTTAATTCAATATACTCGAGCAACCTGAGTTCGATCCCCGGTGCCGGCACCAATGAAGTTTTTAACTTTAAGTGCTGTCTTATCACGTACTCCGCGGTGAAGGAAAACATCGTGAGGAAACCTGCATATTTTCGAAATAATAACAAAAAAAATATATTTCGAAGATATGTGAAGTCCGCCAATCCGCAGTGGGGCCGCGTGATGGACTATGCCCTGATTCCCTCTGTATAGAGGAGGCCTTTGCCCAGCAGTGGGACATGTATAGGCTGTTACTTTACTTTACTTTACTTTACTTTAACACACAAATTATAACAAAGTCAACCATTGATCTATAAGAATCATTAGCGTTATTGACTCCCTATATCTTTATTGAACATATGATTTGCCACTTTATCACTAAAATAATTTATTCTATTAGTAGTGGCTGCTCTACACATGATCTTAAAATTGCTTGTATTAACTTTTCAGTCAACAGAATGACCTCTCATCGTGACGGATGGAGGTTTCCATCGATCTTTCTCTTGGTTCCTCGGACCACTGTTGCGAGTACAGTTCCAGTTACGTGCTCATCACGGCCTAACATTGCGGGCTTCCCATGGATATATCGTTTAGCATATGCTTGTCACCGGATAAACCAGACGTCGTTGACTCTGTATCCAATGTATTCGCTACTCTGCAGTGCGGCTGACGCATCGGCTTCTAGTGATGTAAAAACCAGCGCTTTAAAAATTTAACTCTGCTTCTAGGTCCTTCAAAAGTGTTATTGGTACAATGAAGTCGGAGCACATTAATAGACTGACAAGAGACAGGCGCGTCTCTCGTCGGAAACACGTGCGTTTTGGTCTCTTGCCAAAACTGTGTTAAGGAATTTTTTCTGTAAGCCTTCTTCTCCACTCCTGCACATGGAGGACAACTCGCTGGCCCATGCCACGAAGGAAAGAGCAGATCTTCTGGCCACCCTCTTCTCATCCAACTTGACTTTGCGTGTCCGAGGAAAATCATCACCGACAATCCCGTGATGCCATAACCACTGCCCATTGGCATTTACAACACCCTTAGGTTTGCATTTGCGTTGTCATGAAGTAGGCCCCGGCCACCTCACTCGACGAAACGCAACACTTACAATTCACGCCGGTCTTCTGTGAGTTCGTGATACTTATTCTGACGGACCTTAACATTTCTCTATCGATAAAAATTTTTTTCTAGCTTGAAAAACGAGACGTACTATTCGGAATAGTAGCCAAAATTTTTTCAAATAATCTAACGTGTAACACGAACAAATAAATTAGTACGAAATAATTTGCCTATTATTTTTAATATTTATTTGAATATTATTCTTCTTCTTCTTCTTCTTAATAATGGCTTGCTTTGTGAATATTATTCATTATGCAGTTGTTAGAGCATAACTTGGCATGTGTCAAAAAATAATACCGTTTCGTATTGTGTATTGTCCGTACGTCCGTATGTCTTTTCTTGATTCGTAGCAGTAGTAGTCACAGCACGATTATATGTATTAAAAATTAATGGTAAATAGAAATACTTTGATAACAAGCTTTTATTTAATTTCCCTAAAATGAACTAAATTAAATCAAACCATGTATTACACAATTTATTAAATATTATAAAAGCTTGTTGCGAGGTTTACCTGTGTAACTAGGCTCGCTTGACATACTTATTATTTTAGTAATTCTATGAATGCTAGATGATTATTTAAAAATAATAGACTATTTTAGTAAGTAGTTACCTATCTAATATTTTTTTTTTATGCGTAAAAATGTCAAACGAGCAGACGGTTCACCTGATGTTAAGTGAATACCGCCGCCCATGGACATCTGCCACACTCGAGGGTTACAGATGCGTTGACAACCTTTTGAAAATTGGGCTCCGATATAACGAACGCTCTAAAGTTATAGTTGTGGCCTAGTATAGTTCTTGTAATTCACAAACGCGGTCAGACCAGCATTTGGTTATGATAAAAGCGTATCTCTGTACATTACACGCCGAGGATTCGTGCGTGCCATGCACAGCCGACAAAAAAATCATAAATTCATTTTGCATGTTGTTATAGTGTAATCAAAATAATAAATAACTATTTTTGTTATTGCTGTCCCTTGATTCACCTAAATTAAGCGCAAACTCAAAGTCGTAACACTTATAAGTTTACCAACTCCGCCACATTCATGAAAAAGAAGTGAGTTATCCAAGGGATATATATATATATATAAAGATTTTCTATTCTATATAAAGATATTACGTTTTTGCAAGGATTGTGGTATAAACCTCTTTAATACAATACCATATTGGCCCAAATGAATGAAGAGGTAGAAAGGCAAAATCGCTATATTTTAAATGGAACTTTGAATAAGTTATATTGAAAAAAAGTTGAAACATAGTACCGTCAATAGCGTGGTATCATGAAGATTAGATGAGTTGAATATCAGAGATTGAGATACAATTCAGAAGGGAAAAGCTATGGTTTCCGAAATCTTAAAAGGGATAAATTATGATCAAAGGTAAACTGACACCGAACTATAATCCTACGCAATACTGTAGAAAATCTAATAATTGTATTTGTATTGTAAGAAACAATACAAAGGGCAGCTAAACATAAGAAATGTCGTACACTTTAAGAGAATAGAGAATGAGTGGAAAAATGTCCCGGACCAGGACGCAGTTGTAATGGTATTGGCTTTGGTACCTGGAGTGGTGGGTTCAATTCCCGCACGGGACGACTATTTTTGAGACCTACAGACAATTGTTTCGGATCTGCATACATAACATTTTTATAATATACATAACAGTTTTGTCAGATCTGGTTGTTTGTCCAGGTGAAATTCATGTTTGTTCACATTTTTTTATAATGCGAAAAGGACAATACTGAAGGAAATTAAAATGGAACAAGGGGTTTAATGTATTTTATTGTGACCATAAAGCATAATGTAAAATTAATAATAGTTGTTAATAAAGAAGGGACGTAGTGTATTTGAATGTAATATAGTAAACACCTGCATATCTGCATATATTTCGGATAAAATTACCTTACTAAATTACACGTATAAATACTACTGTCTCGAGCGCAAGACGTTAGTATCCAACTCAAAATATCTTTATTCAAATAGACGCTTGCTCGTTATTATGATATGTCGAATTTTACATAAAAATTGATAAATAAAGTCGTAAGTTACCGCTGATTCGGAAAGCAGTTTCTGTTGAGAAAAGACCGGCAATAAATTCAACACTTGCTCTTTAAAAACATCAGTTTACAATATAACATGATATAGGTATAATACTCTTACTTTAGCCTACCTACGAATATCAACAGTATTTATTCCACACATGGCGTCGTCGAGATATTCTGTAATGGCATGCTTTAACCATGAATTTACTTTTTATTTTGGGTGTAAATTGATCGATTGGCAGAATCATTATCGACTGTGAGTTTTTATCATAAAAGCGTGATTATGATTGCAAAAGAAAAATAAAGAAGGTATAATTATGCTAAATGTTCTTATTGTTTCATCACAATGTGAGACTCTTTTATTTATAAAAAAAAATTTAAATTCTGTTTTTTTTTATTAACAAGAACATAATAAAAGCTTGTTTTTAAAAAGTTCTTTTCTTTTTTTTTTGTTGTATAATGTGTAAACTAACCACCATTTATTGCGGTTTGAGACTTAAAAATTATTTGTACGTACTTATGGAATGGCTGTATTACCACGGCTTTTCACTTCAAAGTTAAAGAGGAATTACTCCCCGATATCTGTCAAACTGTCAAGTCCTGCGTGCCTTTCAAACTTTCAAATCAAAACCAAAATTACCAAAATGGCGCTAAACTTAGTTGTTAAGATACATCCTGTAGTTTTATTTCAAATTGTAGATGCTTATGAGCGTCGAAACGCAGATTCGCACCGTGTTATCGGCACATTGTTGGGTGAATAGCATTTAATTTTTTGTCTTCTACGATTTTAATTGACGACTTATTTTGACGTCATGGCACTAACCTAATCGCTTACTGTTGTCGTGTTACTTTTAAGTTGTTAAAATAAGTCTGAAATCATTGTGATAGAATTATATAGAAAACACTTAATAAATTTCTAGATGAAAAGCAAAAATAATTTTGATTTTGTCAAGGCACGTCGGACAAAGGTGTAGTCGAAGTAACAAATTGTTTCTGCGTGCCTCATAAAGAACATGCAGACCAGGTTGAAGCCGAACTTAACTATGCGATGGATGTGTACGAGTTGAATCGCAGAGTCAATTCTTCTGAAAATATTGTTGGTAAGTTTAATTTTTATTATGCAATGTGAAAAGGATTTAACCATCCAATGAACATGTAGGAAAAGCTGTTTATTTTCGAATTTTACCCTAAAATTATATACCCAATGTATGTAGAATAAAGGCCCATTTACATAGTGCAAGTTTCTTGCCCTGTTGTATAAAATTAAATTGAAGCAATAAATGAGTTGCATGGTCTAAACAACATATAACATTTGTGACTGTTGAACAAGACTCGCTTCAAGTTTTGTTTCAAACTTTCCTTGGTGTAACCAGCACGCACAATAATTTCTTAAGCAATTCTTGTATTCAATTGCATTCTCTCTTCCTTTGCAAACATGAGTGCGATGAGTGAGGGTGTTAAATAGTTGCTGTTCTTTTTCCGCAAGAAATATTGAGAAAAGGTTGTAACAAAAAGTTGGTTAAAAAAATGGATGATAATAAATAAATCTCAATGAAATATATCAAATCGGCATAATCTAACTTAAACACTTATTATTAAATATTTTTTTTTTAAATAAGCAGCCCTTTTTAAAACGTACAACACTTGAATGAAATAATTGTCAAGTTCACACTTGTATCGTCATACTTGTATCGATTGTAAAACAGTTTATTAAATTTTTTTGTAAAACCAGTTACAAAAACAAGTAAACAGTTTATTAAGTTAATGAGTCAACAGATCCGACAGAGCAATCTGACTCGGATAGATAAGGTTAGGTTAAGTTAGCTGCGCTACCGCCTTAGTCTTCATGATTATTTTTTTATCATCACCCAGAACGTCAGTGCACAACAGTAGTTTTAGTATTTTTAAAAACTCTTTTTTAATGTGGTGGATGATTGTTTGATAAATGACCTTACAACGAACTTGAATTCAGAACCGACTTTGTCAACCCCAATATGCTGTGGTCTTGGTCTGTCCTACACCTAGAGTGTTTTTAGAGCCCGGAGGCGCGGAGGGTGGGCAGCTCCCTAAATGCAGAGTGCCTAAAATGGAAATATGTATAAAATTGCCGATTTTAAAGATTTTATTCATATAATGCAATTAGAAATATTTCCCTTTTTATCGAAGGCCTCTTTACGTCTACTGGCCAAAGGACCAATTCTGTAATGACTTAGACGGTCCTTACAACTAGGAAGCGCATAAACTAGTTGATCTCAAAATGACAGATGGTAAAGAAAACGCCTCTGGACACTTTCTAATCGAATGAAACAAAGTCTACAACTTTTGTCTCATTTTAGCTTAATGTTGTTACCGTTTTAACCAGTGGGGTCTCATTTAACTTAGTGCTTACATCATTTTTATACATTTATCATTTTTGATATTGTAACCCAGTGCTTCTAGAAAGCATACAATGAAAACGTAAATTTTTGGTTCTGATTATTGGACAGCAAATTTTAAACAATAAACTCTTCTTCTATTCAAATAAAAAAATGTGCGAAATTGCGGCAGGGTGGTGGGCCACGGGCAACGAGGTGACCAACCACTCGTCGGTGATCCACGAGTACTACGCGCGCGAGTGCCGCGAGCCGGTGCACGTTACGCTGGACACGTCGCTGGCCGGCAGCCGCATGGGGCTGCGCGGCTACGTGTGCGTGCCGCTCGGCGTGCCGCGGGGCAAGCAGGGCTGCATGTTCACGCCCATCGACGTGTCGCTCACCTGCTACGAGCCAGAGGTGGTCGGGCTGCAGCTGTGCCAGAAGACCATGGGGCCCAACGGCCGCCCGCGCCAGGTGCAGCCCGCGCTGGACCTGGCGCAGGTGGCCGACGCGGCCGCGCAGCTGTCCGGCCTGCTCGACCAGGTACGTACCACGCATGTGCGTGGAGGGCGAGAAACGAGCGGAGGCGTCGGGTTCGGTACGACGGTGTGGCCCCCGCAGGTGCTGCAGTACGTGGAGGAGGTGCTGTCGGGGCGCGCCAGCGGCCATGCGGCGGCGGGGCGTGCGCTGCTGGAGCTTGCGCAGTCGCTGCCCAGCCTGGGCGCGCACTCCTTCGCCGACGCCTTCGCCTCCAGCGTCAAGGACCTGCTCATGGTGGTCACGCTGGCGCAGCTCATCAAGACGCAGCTGCAGCTCAACGAGAAGCTCACGCTGCTCACCTCGCAGTGAGCGCGCCCCCCCGCGCATTTACCTACATAGTTTTTAATGAATTCTTACAAAAAATCACTCAACTCTAGGAGTACGCAACTGTTGTAAGTTTTGGCATAAACTTATTTTTGTTTTGTACTTCATGATCCACGACTTCGTTCGCGCAGTAAACCTATAAATTAATATAAATTTGCTAAACTAAATTATTACCATTTTCAAAGTAATGTAACATTTTTCTTTAAATTTAAAACATATTACTTCAGCGATGTTATTAAATCCGACCAAATCTGGTTTAAAAATGATTTTGAATAAATGCTTCTACGTATTATATTTTTATTTAATTAATTTTCCGTAATTATATTTTCCTTTCAATTTTAATTTGTATTTTAGCATTCAATACAAATTACTATTACGCAAATATAAAATATTGAATTGAATGAAGTTAAGAAGAGTTATACAGCGTGTCTTTACCATCGCGACAATAAATGAACACACGTCTAACGATACTTGCCAATAATCATAAAAAAAATATTAACGTTAAACAAAATCCATTATTAAAAAAAAAAACGTTTTTCAAACAAACTAATTAAGTAAAAAATAAACAAAATTTGTAACATCCTATACAACTCGCGTCACAGCGTCGTATTACAAGCCTCTCCTTCTAACAGTATGTTTTGTCTCTTTTAAATTCATTCAACCCTTTCATATGCTTTGTGACCTTCACAAATGAACTTTACGTTACGCTTTTATAGGTGTTCTAAAATTCTTTTGTTTTGTGAGTGAGGTGGCCGGGGCCCAATTTTCAAAAGGTTGTCAACGCATCTGGAACCCTCGGGTGTAGCGGACATCCATGGTGGACGGAATTCACTTAACATCAGGTGAACCGTCTGCTCACTTGGCAACTTTTCACATAAAAAAAAAAGAATGATCTTAATGATCAGAATGCTCAATTCAAAGAGTTTAACAATCCTTTTGGCAACTCAAATAACATTTGAAAACCAACCACCTAGCCTGAGGGCACGTGCACGTTCCACGTGTACTGTCACACCAGCCGGGGACAAGGGAACACTGACGCCCGGTTTCTGAAACACTGATCATCGTAGATGTCACCTAATTATTTGTCAAATGAATTTCAAATTTCATTTTAGTGGCCAAAAGGATGTTTAAACTCTTTAAATTGATCATTCTGATCATAAAGAAGATCATTCTGGTCAATTCAGAGAATTTAACCATCCTTTTGGTACCTAAACTGTAATTTGAAATCCTTTTGACAGCTGATTAGTTGACATCTACGATGATCAGTGTTTCAGAAACCGGGCGTAAGACTATTATTTTCTAGCGTCAGCCGGCCATACGGCGGTGAATGGTGCAAATTAGCGCAGCACTCCTCGCGAGTTCCGTATAGAGCTGCAGACATCGTACAGGCCCGAGTACACTATCAAGAGGAATGTTGCCTATAGCCCCTGCCCTGCTGAAAGCGTCACGAAATATAAAACTGCCCTTAACTTAGAAAATATAAAACCACTTGTAACTTTCTACGCTAAAATAGCTTTGTGCACAACGTGCGCCAAAAACGTGATAATTTTTTTTAACATTCTTAATGTAGTAATTGTAAAGTAAAAAGGGTAAAAATGTCTTCAGCTTCACCCACCAAATGGTCAACAACAGTCAATCATGTTCACCTTGACATGTAAGACAACACCAACAGTAGCTCTGGATTTTTATCAATAATAATAGTAATTGCGTAAATTGGTATTTACTATGCCTGTTTGAAAAAAGACAAATGTATAGTGCGTTATCAGCTTAAGAACAAATTATAAAAAAAAAGATATTTAGGGAAGAAAGTCAAACGAAAAAGAGTTATTGTTTCGATTGTACCAATGATGCAAAATAAACTATATTGAGTACCAAATCTTATGAATCTAAGCTCATTACTCATCGAAATAAGAAAATAAAATCGCTGCCCATAGACATTTGCAACACCTGTAGGGTTGCAGATGCGTTGCTACCTTTTAACAAAGTGGGCTACGGCTACCTCACTCACCAGACGAAACGCAGAAGTGTAACACCTACTTCCACTGTTGCGTATTGCTAATAATATATCTTTTTATGAGGTAAATGTTTTTAATAACTACATGATGGTGCAAAAACCATTAACCTTATAACGCGAAGCGGTTGAAAATGAACTCTTCACTCTAAACGTATCAAAATACCTAATGTATTTTGCTCCAGCCTCTACCACAACCAATTGGCAATTATACGATAATATGAGTAGGTTATAAGTAAGTATAGTAATAAAATGTTTTTTATAAAAAAAAGTTCTTTTTTTTACAATAAAGAAATATATTTCATTTCTTATCTTCACTCGCGTAAAAACGATGACTCAACGGATTTGATTTTACATTTGCGACGTAAAAACAAACAATTTTAAAACTGGAACAGGTTCCAACTCGGCAGCGCCAGAAGTTTTTGGTTATTCATCTACCATTTATAATTAAAAGTTTCATCTTGAACGCAGAAATGCACTAAAATAAAAATTAATCTTAACGACTTTCTTTTTGTAAATATTGTCACGGTGAAGTTTTTCCTAGCAGTTTGTATTTATTTGCGACTAACTGTATGCGCCTGCCATAGTTATGATATTATAGAACAATTTTTCTCAAGGTATAAATTAGCATGTCGATACCTATTGAAATAGGTAAAGTAAAGTAACAGCCTATAAATGTCCCACTGATAGAGGCAAAGGATTCTTCTGTGCAGAGTGGGTCATAGTCCTCACTGCGGTTTGGCGCACTTAACATATCTTCGAAATATGTTTTTTGTTATTATTTCGAAAATATATATTACTTCTCATGATGTTTTCCTTCAACGCTGACCACGTGATAATTCAGAATTTAAAATTAACAATTTCATCGATGCCGGCACAGCGGATCGAACTCAGTTTGCCCGGACCGCCCGGTGAACCCGGACAATGAGATAGCACTTAAATAGGTAACAGGAAAATATTATTTATAATTATAAAAATCGGCATTAAAGCTGTTGATCTTTGTATATTCGGTAAATATAAGTAGTGAGTAGAAATAATAAATAGAGAAATATTAGGGCGAGAGGCGTTTATTGCGGGTGCGGGTCGGCGGGGCAGAGCGCCCCCGCGGCGTGGCAGCGCCAGAGCCAGTCGGGGCGGCGTGCGGGCGGCGCCAGGCCCAGCCGCAGCCGCTCCTCGCCCTCGGGCGCCGGCGTAGCGCCGTAGGCCTTCGCGTAGCGGCGTAGCAGCCGCGGCGAGAAGCCGGCGCTCGCCGCGGCCTCGTCCACGGCCAGCGCGACGCCGTCCAGGAAGGCGGGCAGCGGCGGCGCCTCCTCGCCGCCCGACGAGCTCGCGCCCTCCGCGCCCTCCGGCTCCGTCTCCGACGCGCCCTCTGCCGACGCAACGGCCGTCAAGCGTCGCAGTCGCGTCGGCCCGTGGGAGCGGCGCCCCGAGCCCACTCACCGCTGTCCGCGGCCGGCGGCGAGGGCGGCGAGGGCGTAGACGCCGCGCGGCGCCGTTTCTTTCGCTCGCGGACCACCCTCTCGATCTCCTCGTCCGTGTCGACATCTGTGCCGGAGTCGTGTATTATGACAGGACTCGATTTACCTTCTCGTTCGAAAAATACGTTCAACTTTGAATACTAACCAGTATACACATCAAAAAACTCTAAACAACACGATAATATATTGTTATATTTTCTATAATATCTCTATTTAAAAAAAAGTCATATGATACGGGCCACACAACAGCTTCTGCGATTACACGAATGGGCAAGTTCGTCCGGGAAATTAGTCCGGCGTGAAGTGAACATCTTAAACTTTCCCGTTACATTTGGTAATTGATGTAACCAACACCCACTTCTTTAGAGGTTGTCAACACACCTGCAAGCCATGGAACGTTGTAGATGGACACCAATATTCACTTAACATCAGGTGAACTGCCCGCTCGTTTAACAACAAAAAAAAATAATAAAAAATAGCAAATTATTTTATTTCAATTTGGTGGATTATTTTTATCTAATATTTACAAGATTATTATTTTGATGTTTATTATTTATTGGATTATTTTGATTGAGAAATTGAAGAACTATCGAAATTATGATTATTTTTAACTTTATTAAGGACATTAATTAAAAAAAAATAAACAAACATCGCACTGCGACGATATTTAACAACAGATGAAATGCAAAGATCATGGTCCTTCCTCCGACCTGGCGGTATACCGGACCGAAATCGCGTGAGATGCAATCAATCAGAAGTGGAGTGGGCTTTTGGTGGTAACCTAAGTGTCCTAATCGCCTTTGGCGGCTTTACATCAATGCAGGCGATCCTACAGAACAACATCCTGTTCGAGGAAGGAGTACCATTGCTACGCATGATCATTTCTCGCCCCTCACCACAAGACGCCAATCTAGACCACCCGAGAGCCCTATCATTCTCCGACACATACTCCAGAGGAAGGTTTTATAAGATCTGGACCGTGTATCCACCACTCGAATTTTTGGAATCCCTGTACACAAACCCTAAAATTGGCCCAAGCAGATTTACAATTTTTTTCAACATGGTATCCAAAGCTTGATGTTATTATTTTTCTTTATGATTATAGTGTAAGTCTTTTTTTTAATTGAAAGACTGTCAAAAGTTATGTGTAATATACTTATTTTGTGTGGTAACCGGTAAAACCACATTGTTGATTTAGAACCGCGACAATAAATGAACACACATATAGAAAAAACAAACAATTTTAGGACAACCTTAGGTCAATAAATAAATAAATAAATAAAACATATTGTTAGAAGAAGAGACTTGTAACGCGACACTGTGGCAATGAATGAAAAAGTCTCTGGATGATACAAATTTTGCTACTTTTATATTTAATTAATTTGTTCGAAAATTATTTTTTTTTAATTATTGGCAAGTAGCGTTAGAAGTGTGTTAATTTAATGTCGCGGTTGTAACTACACGCGGTATATGTTGGTGCTGTTTAGACTCTTTTGGTGCGAGTATATGTCACCGCAGTCGTCGGCAGAGGGCGCGGGGGTGCGGGTCTCGGTGGCAGCGGTGGTGGCAGCGGCGGCGGTGGCGGTGGCGGCGGTAGCAGCGGCAGCGGCGGTGGCAGCGGCGGTGGCAGCGGCGGCGGCAGTGGCGGTGGCGGCGGTGGCAGCAGCGGCGGCGGTGGCGGTGGCGGCGGTGGCAGCGGCGGCGGCGGTAGGGGTTGCGGTGGCGGCGGTGGCAGCGGCGGCGGTGGCAGCGGCGGCGGTGGCGGCGGTGGCGGCGGTGGCAGCGGCTGCGTTGGCAGCGTTGGCAGCGGTGGCAGCGGCGGCGGTGGCGGCGGCGGCGGCGGGTGTGGCGGGGTGCATGGCGTAGGGGCGCTCGGGCACGCGGCGCCCCTCGGCGGCGCAGCGACGCAGCCAGGCGGCGCCCACCACGTGCGCGTGCGGCGCCTCGGCCACCACCTGGCGCAACTTCGGCGTGTTCGGGAACGCGCACCTATCGCGTACACGTGCACGTGGCTTTAGGATGGCGTACTCGCCAAGTATGGCGATGGTAGGAGTAAGGAAGTGGAGCGAGGCTCACACGAGGTGGGTGCAGTCGCGGCCCCAGGCGGGGCGGTAGCGCGCGCCCAGCGCGAGCGCGGCGCCGCGCAGGAGGCCGCGCTCCGGCGCCACGAACCCGCTCAGCGCGAACACCACGCCGCGCAGCGCCCCGCCCGCTGCAATATTCAAAGCTGGACTTCATGGAAAAGCAACTTTTTTGGGATAATAATATTAACACAAATAAGCGATACATGTAAACTACGATTAAATAATTAAAAAACATCAAAGAAATAATTGGCTCAAAACTATTAAATCTACTATTAGCTTAAATTTCAAAATATCTGCTGCCTATTGAAATTATTCAATCCCAGCATCATTATTCATTCCCAGTCGCTTTTCAAGTAAAACCGTGGATGTTGAGCGAAATATCTAACCAACATTGGTACCAACAACAAGACCAATATGTGGACAGACCAATAAACACTTGAGATTATTATTAAAAAAGTTACTTGTACTCTCATCATTATAATCTGATCGTTGTCGTTTTCTGCTCTCCTTACCACCATTATCCTTATGATCTCCGTCAGATTTCTCTTTGTTTTCTCCACCACCTGAGATTTTGCAACTAGACCCTCGAACGTCAGTCTTTTTGCTAGTAGTGTTCTCTACTCTATCTTTACTCCTGCTGAATAATTCACCTTTACTTTCTTTTTGAACAGTGCTGTTTGTTTCAACATTGACCTTTTTCACATTAACATTCTTCATAATGAGCATATGCTTAGTATTTTGTGATTTGTCAGTTTTGTCTCTTTGCTCCTTGTGTTTGGTGACCACACGGTCGATTTTCGCATGAGGTTCCTCCTCGTCAGAATTGTACATGAGGCTCTGTCTGCTTCTGTCCTGAGTCTGACCACGGTCACAACTGTCTCCCTTGTGCTGTTTCGCAATTGTAGTCTTTCTTAGCTTTGTATCAGCATCTGATATATTTTTTAAGGCTTGAGAGGAAGCTTTTCTAATCTGAGCATCTAAAAATACAATCAAAGAAAAACAGTGAAAAATAAGAAAACCAGGTTGTTTTAAGAAACACTTTCAAATAAAGCAAACAAATTTTCGAAATTCTATAATTAAATGTCAAAAAAGTAGGAGATACACAGCACATATAAATTCAAATAATTATTTAAATTAATAATTTTCATACTTAAAATATAATTTTGTGGATTAAAAACATTAAAAGTTACAAACTTGTGTTAGAAGTGTGGGCATTGTCATCATCTTCCTTTAGGCTCTGTCGATATTTGGCAAACAGTTCTCCTGGTCGGAATTCATCTTCATCTGAAGAGTAGCTGCCAAGAGCTAGGAATTTATCCTTTTGACTCAGAGCAGTAAGAGCTGGCATCACAGGCACAGGCTTGGGTTCCACTGAAGGATCAGGGGAAATGTCTTCAAGTTCAAATATATGTAGAAATGATAATCCAAACTGTAAGACAAATATTTGTCAATTAATGCTTTAAATTATTTTAAACTGAAGTAATATGTAATAAATTTAGATATTTTCTAGTGATGTTTACTCTCTTTGTTTATAAGATAGAAATAAAGTACTTTACCCAGAACTATGATAATATTAACATAGACAAACACATGTCCTCTATGCAATAATAGCAACCAATAATAGCTTTACTATCATGTAAAGAGGTTAAGGTTTAAGGTATTATAGTCAACAAAATGGTACCTGACAATGTTTGTTGTAGGGCTGGGAGCATAGGACGCGCAAACGATCCCAGCGACGGCGGAGTGCTGCTTCAGCTAACTGGCCGCCGCTAAATGAACGTACGCGCTGCACGGGCTCATCGCGACGTGACTCAGCTGGCCCACAGAATACGCAGCGCGGCACTAACACCTGTCAATTATCTGGTTCATTAGTTACAGAACAATATAGCGTCCAAATGTCATTGCTCACCTAATAAAGTCCTACTTCGTATTCCTCATTGGGCTTTTCCGATGTACCCACCATCACCTCCACAAATGCTGCATGGTGTGCTCCAATGTGAATTGCAGATATCTGGTAATTTACATAAATATTAATAACAGGTAATCATACAATTCATAAAAATTACAAATGTTTGATAACTTAAAATATAATTACCATTACTGCACGGGCAAGCTGCAGTACCACTGAGCAGGATTGTTCACCTTTGGCACAAAGCCATTTTTTTTTACTAACTTCTCCTGCTAGTAAATTACTTGCCTGGTTTTCCTAAAATAATGTATTTAAAAATCAAATAAATGAATGAGTCCTCAATCTATTTACATATTATTAACATTCTACAAATTGCCTGTAAGGTAAGATCAATACAACATTACAACTTCTTTTAGTGCAGTATTAAATCGAGTTTGAAACAAATGGCAATGGCCGTGTAAAGAAAAAAGGTGTCAGATTATATATTGAAAGTGCATAATGAAAAAAAAATATAAATAATGTGTGAGTGAGAGTGATATCATAAGCAGATTTTTCTATAATTAGAGTTAATATTAAAATATATTACAAAGCCCCTTTTTTATGTGAGAAGGTGCAAAACCCATAGGATCGCGGATATTGCCACCTCTTCATAAAGTAGGCCCCAGCTACCTCACTCACCAGATGAAAGGTGGAAGTATAACAATTCCTCTTCACACCAGTCTTCTGTGAGGTCATGGTACTTACTCAGATGGACCTGCCCATTTGTGCAAAAGCAGACTGTTGTGCAGCCCTACCACAGTTAAACCTTAAACCTTGTGGTTTTTGGTTAGTCATTTTTTTAAATAAAAAAAATTCTAAAATTCTACAAAATGTTAAGAATGGCTTGTCAAATGTTTTTATTTTTTGAAATTCTATATATTATATTGCCTGATCCAGCAAATGTTGTTTTGTGGTATTTTGTAAAATCCGTTCTTAGCTGACCTCTACTAGACGAAAGGAATATTCCTTCCCAAATTTCTAGGCTTGATGGTTCCAGAGATATTGTGATGAGTCAATTAACAGTGGAAATCTCTATATATTATATAACCATTTAATCATTTTGTTTTAATCTTTAAAAAACTTTTATTTAAAAGATGCTCTGATTTTATAATAAAAAAAGTCAAATTATTCATTATCATTCATTAAAATGATGGTAGATGGATAATCTATCTATATGTAAAAATTTACCCATTAATTTTGATGAACTTTGCAGACAAAGTTATTGGGTGCAGTTTGGTAGCGATCATGCAAAAGATTTATTATTTTTGTATTATTAATTCTACTCTAGCAAAGTTAGAGTGGATCACTAGTTTGTAATATACAATTTATCCTTTTGATCCTGGTCAAATTAATCAAATTGATAAATCGAAAACAAGAAACACGCTTTTATTCGCTTTACCAACACGCTTTTATTAGCTTTACCAACAACAAATTAATTAAAAAATGTATGTGAGAAAGAGGCAAAAGCCAGCTCTTTTGCCTCTTTCTCACATACATTTTTTACGCTTCACCTGATGTTAAGTGATACTGATAACCGTCGCTCATGGACATTTGCAACATCCATAGAGTTACAGATGTGTTGTCACCCAAACAAAGTGTGCCCCGGCTACCTTACCTTATTCTTCTTCCTTTCTTTATGGCTACCTTACCTTATTCACCAGACGAAACGTAGAAGTATAACATTTCCACTTTACGCCGGTCTTCTGTGAGGTCATGGTACTTACCCAGACGGACCTGCCCATTCGTGAAACAGCGAACACTATTGCGTGGTTAGGAATTAATCCATGGGTCCATTTTAATAGGTAATATTGTTATCGGTTGGCCTAAGTACCTATTACATGTTTAGATATTTTTCCATAACTTACAGGATCTTCACTGCTAACACTCACTACATAATCTACCTTGACTCGTGGCATTACGATACTATAATTAAATTTATTAATAAAAAAATGTTTTTGCAGAATTTCTAAGTTTAACCTCTATTAATGATTCGCATTAATGCGTTGTTTTGAATCTTTCAACTGTCAATGCGCTGTCAATGTTCATTCTTCATAATTGTCACAGCTGTCAGTTGTGCATCGTGCTCATAACTTGTACGTTCTGCTACACGCTTAAGCTGGACATGTATGCAAATGTTTTTAAATTTTTTTTCGGAAAACATTTATACTCTTACACATGTTACTCTATGATGATTTTATACATGATTAGTATGTGCAAAGATAGCGTATACAGATTTTAAAAAAATCAAAATTATTTATTCATCGACATGAAAAATACATTTCATTTATCGATAGTAATTTTTTTTTAAATCTACCACCGTTTCGTAATGAGGTTTCTCTAACGGATAAGAAACAGACGAAAGAAACTCCGTAGGTATTTCTCCTCTTTTTATCAATTTTTTTTCTCAACATAATTAAAATATGATACAACAAATTTTTCGTTTAGAAATGGCTTGGGAGCGGTCACATTATTCCCAGGGGTTATTGTCATTAATGTATTCCTTTATATTATTATAACCCTTTTTATAATGTTTTGACTTAAATCTGTTGATAGGCAGGCTTTGCGCATTTACTGGGATTTTTTTGTAGAAGAGTACTTACAAATACATCGCCCCATGAACGAATTACTTACTCTATGGAGTCTAGTAACTGGCGTTACAAGCTTGTGTTTGTTCCTAGTTTTACATTATGTACATCAGTATTCTTATCAAAATTATTAAAATTTCCACGTACATACATTACATTTTCATATATATTAAGAGGTCAAGGTTAATATATTTATTTCTTTACATTTCTCTCTCAGAGATACATTCATGTCTAGATTATAAATTGCTCTTATGGCCCTTTTTTGGAAAATTGTTTCTATATCAACTGCGTGCCCCCAAAGAGAATATAACCACTACGTTTATACTGCGTGCCCCCATAGCAAAATAATATAATGACATTATACTATGGAAATAACTAAAATAAACAATTCTTGCTGTTTTAACGTCAGTCAGACATCTTATTTTCATAGTAGCATGCGCCACTAGAAGTGGGCGATACAAATCGTATCAGATATGAAAAAAAGATATTAGTACAATATCCGAATATCGCTTACTGGCTCGTTCAATATCTATGTATTTTACAATATCTGATATTTCCGAAATCTGATGTACCGTGCTCGTTCGCTATACCGACACGAATCGCGATATCATACGCGTTTGCCACAATATCTGATTTTTAAACAGATTTCGAGAGACAAAGCGCGTGAGATACAAATACTCACTAGTTAGAGCGGGACGGCAAGCAATGCACGATATCAGATTTTTAAACAGATTTTGAGCGACAAAGAGCGTGAGATACAAATATTACACTAGTCAGAGCAGTACGGCAAGCAAGGCACAATATTAGATTTTTAAACAGATGTTATGAATAAGTTAAGTAATTTTGAATCTTAATACCATCTAAATAAGATCCGTTTTATTTAAATACTGATCATGGTATCAACGAGTACTACAACGATATTATTATATTTTTATTCTTTTGTTTAGCCTCTTGAGCCGTAACGGCCGACAAAGCGCGCAGTTAAGTGATTTTGAATCTTAACGGCATGGAAAAAAAACTCTGTTGCACTTAAATACGAATTACGGTATTAACGATGTCTTTAAATTTTGTTTAGCCTTGAGTTGGATTGCATTGGTACCTAGCACGTAATAGTAAGGGATGAAAAATATACAATGAAAATTTTTTAGGAGGTAAATTTTTTGTGAATATTTTTATTAGTTAAATTTTATTCATGTTTTTGGAAAAAAAATAAAACTACATAAAAAGAAAAATATAATTTAATAGTGCTGTGCTGCTTTGGTGGAAATCAGACCAAGGCTTATGTGCCTTGTGTGTATATTTTAAATTCATCCGCCCTAAATTATATCTATCTTAAATTCAGTAAGTTTTTGGAATTTAGTCAATTTTAGTGGGGTTTCGAATTTATTTAGGAGTATTCTTTTTGAAGAGTTGGTATCACTGGTAATGGTAATAGTAATGGTAATTTCATTGAATTTTTTTTTTGTTTTTTTTTTTTTTAATTTTTCCACGAGTAAAGGGAAAGGCAGAGTAGATATATTTTAAAAAAGTATTAAATTTACTACTCCCAAATTAAAACCTGTAAAAACTGATGTCCTTCTATATAGGGAAACGTTAGACCCTAATTGAGCCGTGATAGCTCAGTGTCCGGGCGTCACGTGCTCAGCGGTGAAGGAAAACATCGTGAGGAAAGTATCGTGTGGCGATACGAGTTCCTCTTTCATGGCGTTCAGTGATGCCGTCCGAGATGCGATAGTATGTCCGAACGCGTCTAGAAAACTGCCTGGTGCTTAGCACGATAGCCATACTTTAATTAATTCGATTTATAATGAGAGAAAAATGTTATATCGATTTGGTGCCAAACCCGTTCGCAAGGATTATATATAACTTACGAAAAGATTTCCATTTGTTAACTGAAATCTAAAAACTATTTTTCAATTGTGACAATATCTAGAAGTTAAAAACCAAGTTTGATTTTGAGTAGGTACTTATGATGAGAGTAGCTACTACTAAGATTTTTGTAACTATAGTTAAAATTATGTTGTTAAATAAACAAAATTCAAACAAACTTGTTAATGAATACGGACGTTCATTGTTACGTTTCAGTATTTACACGTTATGATTTTCCTACCAAATTAGAAGAATTAAAGTTGTAATTATTTTTAATTGCTCGTGTGAATCTATTTCTTAATTGCGTTATTTAACAGTAAAATAGCGGAGTGTTAACACTTTAAGTTTTTTGGCGCAAAGTCGCGTGCTCGCGTCGGCGCCGACGTTTCCTGCGCGTACATCCGCATCACGCATCACGCACCCGTCGCGTCGTGTGCCACGAGACTGTGAGATGTTTTTGTGCACTGCGTGTCCCAGTGGCCAGTATACTGCAAATCCTATCATCCACCTTCCTTCTTTCCTATTTGATAAATTATTATTAGCATAGGTCGCATTTATTGGGATTATGAAGTTAAGTTATTGTAGCGTATATTTTGTAGTGGAAAACAAAAATGAGTATGCGGTCAAAAGATTGTGTTTTAGGATTTCCTAAGTAACAAGATCATTGCATAGTAAGTTATAGCAAATCAGTGGGTGTGCGTGCAATAACGCTACCTACTTATCTAGTACTTGTTTCTTGTTTCATTGTCTTCCTACCCCTATACCATCCATACGGGACAAGTGCGATCCATACTTGTCCCGTGTCAGAATTGTGCCCACGACCCCCGGTATTGAAACCAATAGCTAACCTACTGCGCCACCGAGTTACATAAACTTGATTCTGATTTATGACTTTCAATTGTCTTGATGACGCGATTACACCGATAAATTCAGTTAGCTTTTCTCTTCTATTTTAATTTGTATGACTCATGTAAATTCTTATTGTCACTTTTTGGGTTAACGTTGGATTAGGTTATTATTGGTCATAATTAAAATTAAACTATAGATCTCGGAAAGGATTAAAAATAGAAGGTTTTGTTTGTAACACAAGGCTGGGTCTTTTCTCGCTCAAAGGTTAAACATAAAAATTATAAATGTTAATATATATTAGGAAATGCAGCTTGGCTTCTTGACACCTTGTCGTGTGGACTAGGTTTATAAAATAAAACGTAATTTACAAACATGTTCTTAAATGTAAATATTCGATATATTGAAATTCGTCATATCATTAAAAATAAATTGTGTACGTATGTGATTAAGGTAAAATATAAAAGATTGTTGCAAACCAAACATTTATTTTATAAAATATTATAAACAAAAAATATACTAAATATGCGATGGATCACATAATTTTTAGATAATTTAATTACGAAAAAATAAATATACCTACTTCTGAATCCTTAGCTTATTTTATCAACAAATTTAACTTAGCAGTATTTATTAAAAACGATTTTCAGATTCTTATTAATTATAAATTATTGCTTTTAAAGTTGTCTCCTATAGCCTATATATAAATAGTCTTTCCATTTTTTTTAATATTTATATTTAAATAATTGCACTCAATTTTATTTATAAATTATTTAAAATCTATGATATAAAGTTTACATTACGTTATTGTTGTAGGTACTAATAAATGAAGTTTTTTGTTCGGTTATACTGCAAAAACTGCTGAAACAATCGGAATAATACTTATACTATAAGATGCAGCGTGTTTCGGAGGTTTTAGTTTATTATGATATGTTGATGATTACTTATCCAGAACCTATATTTTTTTGACTTAAATAAGATGGTATGACCCAGCGAAGCAGGCGGAGGACAGCTTTTATATTTTGGTTAGTCCAAAACATAAATGTGAAAACATGTACATATGTACTTAAAATCTTTCATTATAGTACTATATACACATCGCCTTAAGTAAAGTTATTAAAACCTAGCCAATAATTACATTACGACTTATTAAAACGCTTTAATATGGTTGCATGTTATTTCAGACATTGTTATGAAAAAAGTATCATTTTTTAAAATTTATTGGTCGTATCGTTTGTAGTGTTTAAATGTCGTTAAAATTTCCTTTAACAAATCGTAGCTTTTCAGAATCGCCCGTTGAAACAGATTTATATTAATAAATTACTTGCATGCGTTAATTACATTTCATGAAATTGTTTTCGTAGGGGGGTGGAATGAAATTCCATTTGAAAAAAAGAGCTTAATGGTGGATGCCATCAGTTACTACTCTGCATTCAGCGGCTCTTCACGACCTTGTACTTGTGCACCCTAATGACGATGGGGTCTTGGGGTCTTGGGCGGGGCTGTGCCGGCCGCCGGTAAGTGAAGCCGCCACGTTTGTTCGGTCGCGCGTATATCACCTCCGCCACCCGCTGCTCCGAAGAACTGTCCGAGGGCTCCGTCACTCGAGGCTCTGAACGAAAAGCCGCTTTTACAATTAGACAATCTCCTATTCACTTTCTAACACTATAGATAGAGTCATTCAAGAAGAGGGTTTATATATATATATATATATATATATATATATATATATATATATATATATATATATATATATAATATATTGCAACCGTGCGAAGCCCGTGCGGGTCGCTTGAAATATAGTACCTATAAGCAAATTGACTGTTCGTACTACAACGTCACAGAGGATCGCCTTACAGTGGAAGTATTTATACTTTAACTTGCTTGGTTAGCAAGGCAACGGCGGGCCCCACCTTCTTTAAACTTGGCAGCGAAACTGCGATCCTAGTGAGGTTAGCATCAGTTGTATTTTAATGTCATTCTGAACGCTGAATGAATTTGAAATAGCAAATACGAATCGTTTACGGAAGCGCACCTATCATCGATGCAGAGTGTGCGGGCTGACGCGCGTAGTAGTGGCGCGTCGGCTCCAGCTGGGCTTCGTAGGGGCTTCGTACTTGGGGAGGGGGCCGAATTATGGCATCGGCTGGGCGAGGCGTACGGAGGGCTCGAACGTGCGAATGCTACTGCCCCTCGGGCTGATTCCCGCGGTTTTAGGGGTACACTGCTACGGTGCTCGATTTTTATTGACATTGTGCGCAAACGAAATGAATCAACTTTATTAATACGTGAAGCAAAAACTTTGTACCACTTTTCACGAAAATTGCGTGGACGGAGGAGTATGACATCTCCCACACTTATAGTTTATATAGAGGAGTGCAGAATGCTAATATTTTCTTTAAATTATGCATAAAAATACATTAAATCTATAAAAACACTACCATGTATAAATAATTATGGTCGATTTCGACCACTGGGTGACCACCACTATAAATTAATAGTTATTTTGGCACTTACGAATAATTCCATTGCGGTGTGCGCGCGCCGCGAGCGTACCCTTGCGTCTGCACCGGCAGCGGCCCACGCGACTCCCTCTGTTTGCCTATTTGCAAGGCACATCCTCGCGGGACCTCTATAGAGCTGAACAATGTCAGATTTCTTTTCTTCTTTCTACTCCGTTTTGCTTTTTGCAGAAATGGCAAGCAATACAACATACATGTTCAATTTTAATATGTGCTAAAGTTGTGGGCGATGATACTTTCATAAAACTTATCCTTATGTTCCTTGATGCTTATATACTAAAAACACCTTTTGTTTCGTAATATATTGTAGTTGTAAAAGTCGATAATTACTTTTTAAGTAGAGCTATCTCCACAGCGCAGACCAGATAATATTCTACTGCAGGCTTTCATTGGCACAATTTTAAAACACCCGTTCAGGTTAACAACTTTATCTTTTAGGTTTGGTATATTACTTGCTTAATAAGTGTAAAATAAATGAAATAAGCAAATACGTTGTACGACTCTATGAACAGCTAGAGCGAGCATTTCGTGCGCTTCATGAAAATATGTTAAGAATGACAAGGCAAGTCGGCGCGCCTTCCTTCCGCGTTGTACGAGTTTTGTTAATGGAGTGCATCACTGAAGTTTCATTAGTTTTCATTTGATTCATCGTAACAGTTCCGTTTATCATACGCGTGTATCAGTAACGCGCACAACTAATATGCTCATTTCTAGAATGATTTTGTCTGTATTAATGAATTTGTGGAATGAATAACTTCATTCATGTATTCGATGATACATGAATATAGTTAGTAAGAAATAAATTTAGGAAAGACATAATTGAAGAGAAAATTTATAGGACTTATAATAAATGATAAAAATATTTTCTTATGTTACCGTTGTCAGTGATGACTGATGAAAGGACGCCTTTAAATTCCGTTACATATTTAACAGTACGTACAAGTTCTGAAATGAGCCTGGAATTGGAAAAAAGCGTAGCTAGCAACGCTAGCTTCGCCAGTATGGGTAGCGGAGAGGCCCAGAGAGTGCGCAAGAAGCGCACTCGCGCCTCGGATGCAGACGCCGAAGCAGATGATCATCCGGAATCTTCGGCGTTCAAAAGGAGAGGCACCCCTGTGCCTAAAAGGGGTAGAGGCCGCCCGCCCAATAGTGGGCAGTATTTGGGGCTGGCGAAAGGGAAGCGGGAGCTCATGGAAGCCAGGAGGGCAGAGATGGAGCTCCAGGCGGAGAAGGAGGTTCCAGAGCTGATCCAAAGGCGCCGGCTCGATAGAGCATTGCGCCCCGCTGGCTTTGACGACGTAGTCGACTCTCGCCTTTCTTCGACCCTGCTTGAGAGGGTCGATGATGGCATTAAAGTCATCACCAAAGTCGCTACGAAATCAAAGAACCTGAAGGGCACTTTTGTAAAAGCCCTTAAGGAAGCGGCTGAGATGATCCGGGAGGCGGGGTGAACGGTCTACAGAGCATATCATCGACTGATGAAACCCGCCGCCTCCAGGCCGACAACAAACGGCTGCGGGACGAGGTGGCGACGCTCCAAAAGGAGGTTGCTAGCATGCGTCTCAGTATAGAGAAGGCGGCTCGCCCAGCCCAGGAACGGACGCCGGCACCAACACTGCAGGCTGAGCATATCGCGCGTGATGTACTATCCCAAGTAGGGACGATGATCAGCGCGCGATTCGAGGCTCTCGAGGAGCGCTTGCTCCCGGAGAAGCGCCTGAGGCCGCCTTTGGCTGCGGATAGGCGTAGCGCCGAACCTGGGCCTTCATCGGCACCAGATCCCACCCCTACCTCTCTGGGAGAGACGTGGAGTGCAGTGGTACGGAAGGGAAAGGGGAAGGGAAAGAAGACAGCGCCCGCGCTTGACGTGCAGATGTCGGCTTCCATCTCCGCCAAGCCAAAGAAGTCTGTGGCTAAGCCCGTCGCGACGCCTAAGCCACCTACGGCCGCGCCGTTAAATCTATTACGGTGCCGAGGCCCCCATTGGTCGCAACGGGATCCGCTGCGGTGCCCAAGTCCGGTACGGCATCAAGACCCGCTGTGGCCACTGCGACGCCAGCCGCCGCTAATAAAAAGAAACGGAGGCGTAGAGCCCGCAAACTACGTGCCCCTACGACGGCAGCTGTAGTAATCACACTACAGCACGATGCCGTCGAAAAGGGGGTTACGTATAGTGATGTTCTCACCAAAGCCCGTCAGAGGTTAGATCTGACGGCCTTGAACATCCCGGCAGGCCTGAAAATAAGGCAGGCGGCCACGGGAGCTCGAGTTCTCGAGCTTCCAGCAGGGGTCACGAGCGAATCAGCGGACAGTTTCGCCGCGAAGCTCCGTGAGGTCCTCGCCGGAGAAGCACGGATCGCCAGGCCGGTGAAGTGCGCGGATTTGCGTCTTACTGGCCTGGATGATTCCGTCACCAGGGATGAGGTGCTCGCTGCGATTGTCGCTGCAGCCGCCTGTCCCCTTGACCACGTCAAGGCGGGCGAAATTCGGGAGGGCCGCCGGGGCACTGGCTGCATCTGGGTGCAATGTCCAGTGGCAGCTGCTAAGGTCCTGGTGTCAGCTCGGAGTATGAGGATTGGCTGGAGCTATGTGCACGTCGAGTTCCTGGAGCCGCGCCCTATGAAGTGCTTCCGATGCCTAGAAATCGGGCACACGCGACTCCAGTGCACTTCGGAGGTGGACCGCAGCGATATTTGTTATCGCTGCAGTGCTCCTGGACACAAAGCAGCGGCATGCTTAGCCAAACCCCACTGCGCAGTATGCGCAGTTGCAGGTAGGCCAGCTGAGCACTCGGTGGGGGCTAAGGGTTGCTCCCCACCGAAAAAAGGGAAAAAAGCCGGCAGGACCCCGGCATCCCAGCAGGTGGATCGGGATTCGTCCCGACAAGAGGAAATGTGTGTCGACTCTAATAATGGATAGGGATAGACATTTCCTCCAGATAAACCTAAACCATTGCGCCGGTGCCCAGGATCTATTATTCCAGGCACTGGCGCAATGGCAAATTGGACTGGCGGTGGTAGCGGAGCCTTATTGCATACCCGCCAACTGGATAGGGGATGCTACGGGCACGGCGGCCATCTATGTTCCAGATGGTACCACGCCCCTTTCCGTCAAAGAGAGGGGAAATGGTTTTTGTGGCGGACTGGGGGAAATACACAATATTCTCGGTGTATTTTTCCCCAAACAAAACCCTCGCTGAACTCGAGACGCTCCTCGGTGATATGCAGGCGGCCATTAGGCGAGTTGCACCTCGACCGGTAATTGTGGCGGGCGACTTTAATGCCAAGAATACGGCTTGGGGATCGCCTGCCACAGACGTGCGGGGGATTGCGGTTGAAGACTGGGCCACGGAATCTGGGTTGGCACTTCTCAACTGCGGCACATCACAAACCTGTGTTCGGGTCCAAGGGGGGTCCATTGTAGACCTTTCCTTTGCGAGCCCGGCGGTTGCTCAGGCAGTACGAGATTGGCGAGTTATGGGGGAGGTGGAGACGCTGTCGGATCACTTATATATCCGCTTCAGCGTCTCCTCCTCCAGAGGGATGCAGTTGGTCCCCGCCTTCCCTGCGATGGCCTCAACGTTTCCGCGATGGGCCCTCGCGGGGTTGGACGTTGACCTGCTGAAGGAGGCCGCCATCGTCGAGTCCTGGAGCTCCCCGCCTCCGGGGACGACGGACGAGGAGGCGATGTGTTTCCGCAGCGCGATCACCAGGGTCTGCGATGCCTGCATGGTCCGCGTGCGGCAAAGACCTCAAAAGAGGCAGGTGTACTGGTGGTCACCTGACATTGCGGATCTTCGGCGACGCTGTGTCGCCGCCCGCCGGAAGTTCCAACGACAGCGGCGGCGGCGGCCGCGGAATGAGGAACTGAATGACCATCTGCAGAGGGCGTATCACGACGCCAAAAAATCCTTGCAGCTGGCCATCCTGAGGGCCAAAGACACTGCCTGGGGTGAGCTCCTCGCGGGCTTGGACCGCGATCCCTGGGGTCGTCCATACCGAGCAACCAGGGGCAAGCTTGGTCGGGGTCCGCCGCCTGCTGAATCTATTCCACCGGAACGGCTGGCCACGGTGCTGGAGGCGTTGTTCCCGGCCCCAACTGGCGTTATCCCACCGGTGCCTGAGCCGGAAACCACCGAGGAGGTGCCTCTGGTATCCGAGGGTGAGATGGGAGCCGCACTTCTGCGGCTTCGTGGGCGCAAAACGGCCCCTGGCCCCGATGGTGTGCCCGGCAGGGCTCTGGTCTTGGCCTTGGGGCCCCTAGAGGAACGCTTGAGGGAGCTTTTCACCGCTTGGTCTTCGGCGTGGAGAGTTCCCGCAGTGTTGGAAGGCGGGCAGGGTTGTTCTCCTTCGTAAGGAGGGACGCCCTGAAGAATCGCCCTCGGCTTACCGGCCAATCATCCTGTTGGACGAGGCCGGTAAGCTGTTGGAGAGGGTGGTCGCCTCGCGCATCATACGTCATATGATGCGCGAGGGTCCTGACCTGTCCGACGCCCAATACGGGTTCCGACCATCGCGCTCCACAATAGACGCCATATTGTGTGTCAAGGGGTATGCGGAGGAGCAGGCGGCAAACGGCAACGTGGTGTTGGCGGTGTCTCTTGACATCGCAAACGCATTCAATACCCTGCCGTTCGCTACCATCGAGGAGGGCCTCCGATACCACCGACTCCCCCGGTACTTGCGTGCATTTATTGTGGCGTACCTACGGGGAAGGAGCGCTGTAGGGCGCGATGGCGTCCTCGTACAGAGGGAAACGTGGTGCGGTGTTCCACAGGGATCGGTCCTTGGGCCCCTCCTGTGGAACATCGGCTACGACAGGGTACTCCGTGGTGCCCTGCTGCGCGGGCTTCGTGTTGTCTGCTATGCTGACGACACACTCGTTCTTGCCCGCGGCGCGACGCATCAGGAGGCGACCCAGCTGGCGGTGGGTCGGTGGGACTAGTGGTGTCCCGCATCAGAGCTCAAGGCCTACGGGTGGCCCTTGAGAAAACCAAGGCCCTATTTTTCCATGGACCTAGAAGGAGGCTGGCTGCAGGCACACCACTCCGGATCGGAGAAGTGGAGGTCCGGGTCGAGTCCGAGATGAAGTATCTCGGACTCGTCCTAGACGGACGGTGGACGTTCGCCGCTCACTTTCGCCGGCTGACACCGAATCTGGTAAAGGCATCCGCTGCTCTTGGACGCCTCTTGCCTAATGTGGGGGGACCAGGGTCGGTCTGCCGCCGCCTGTACATGGGGGTCATCAGATCGATGGCCCTCTACGGAGCTCCTGTGTGGGTGGATGCCTTGAGTGCCACGAATAGAGCGTTGCTGCGACGACCGCAGCGCGCCATGGCACTCAGGGCTATACGCGGCTACCGCACAGTGGCCGGCGAGGCGGCGTGTGCTTTGGCGGGATCCCCACCATGGGACTTAGAGGCTAAAGTCCTCGCGGAGGTATATCGCCGAGTCGCTGAGGCGAAGGGGTGCGGCGATAACGTTTCCACCGAACGAATCGCAAGGTGGCGAAGCCAGGCGCGCATCATTTTGATGCGCACCTGGCAGGAACGTTTGGCGGCTCCCACTGCCGGACATAGAGTGGCACAGGCCATTAGGCCTGTCCTGGAGAAGTGGATCGGTTCCCGAAATGGCAGTTTGTCATTCCGGATGGTGCAGGTGATGACTGGGCATGGATGCTTCGGTCATTACCTGCACGCTATCGGGAGGGAACCGAGCCAAAGGTGCCACCATTGTGCCTGCGCCGACGATACGGCGCAGCACACGATGACGGAATGCCCGGCGTGGGAGGAGCCGCGAGGGCGGCTCCGTGACGTCGTCGGGTCGGATCTCTCGCTGCCGGCCATCTTTAGAACAATGGTCGACAGCAAGGCGGCGTGGAGGGCGATGGCCTCCTTCTGCGAGACAGTCGTTTTACAGAAGGAGGCCGCCGAAAGGGAGAGGGAGGAGAATGCTTCTTCCGACCCGATCCGGCGACGTCGCATGGGGAGAAGGCGGGCGGCACACGAGCGCCGTCTCCCGCCCTAATGGGCCTCCGGGTGACAGACGTGGGGACGTCTGTCACCTAACGGTATGAGGCCCCGCGAAGACTAAGTGCCCACTGGTGTCATGGGCACTCATGCGGAGAACGGGGACAAAAGTCCCTTCGTGGTGTGCCCCAGCCCTGTGCAGGGTCGGGGTAGCCGTGGCTGGGTTGCAGCAGAATCGCTTAAGCGGGCCCTGCAATCCAGCATTTGACGGCAGAGGAGGACACCCGATGGGTTTTAGTTGGTAGGTCTGCCCTTCTCAGAGCGGGAGTCCAACATAACTCTCCTTGCTTCCCCTAAGGAGAGTATGCATGATGCATTTCCCATCGTTAAAAAAAAAAAAAAAAAAAAAAAAAAAAAAAAAGGTACTAAAACCTGCTGATTCGGGCTAAATTGATAAGTGGAAATTAAGCTCACGACTCAACACCATATAATGCAATAATTTAGGCATCTTTACTACTAAAAGCACAAAGTGATAAATTAGAGAGGATACAGAGTAAATTGCGTAATCTGAAACTGTACGGCGTCTATCCAACTTATCTTCGTTTCCATCCCTATTTGGTTTTGGTTTGTTGGGATTTGGATAAAATGAACTGAAACTGGTAGGGTATTGCCAATTGTTGAGGGCATTTGGAAGTTTCCGTCATACCCAATGAACGCCCAAGAGCTACTTCCCATAGAGGACGCGAAAGCGCCTGCTGCGTTTGTTGCACGTGCTCCCTAACACCGGACCATTGCTCGTGCTTACTTCCAAGGCGCTCTCCTTCCACAGAAATCATTTTTACTCTAGTGTCGACTTACGTAATTTGTTACGTTCTTAAGAAGTATACATTACTTATTAATGTATCCTATTAGTAATTGAGTTATTTTTAGGGTTCCGTACCTGAAAAGGAAAAAAAAGGAACCCTTATAATATCACTCTCTTGTCCGTTTGTCCGTGTGTCGCCACCAATTTTCTTAGGAACGGGTGGAAACACGTTAAAACTTAGCCAGTAATAAAAATTATACCAATTTTATTATGGTGGTATAATGAGTAGGTACGGAACCGTCAGCGCGGTTCGACTTGCACTTGACCTGGTATTTTTGTCAATATAATATGTTCGTTTACTTATTATATTATATTACGTGTGTTTATGTTCGATTACATATGGATATGAGAACAGAATCTGTAATAAATAAATAAGTTCGTGTAGAATGAATGCCTAAAATATTGTCGAAGGAAATTCGGTCATCAGCATCGACGTCACTACTGTTGGTGGCGGTCAACATGTTCATCATATTATGTTCGTAATAAGGCCGCGGTTTGTCTATTGCCTAACTTCGGTGATCGCTTACAGATTATTATAATAATGCTACAGTATGAAGGTTATAATGATACGATGTTGAACTCATTATAAGGGTTCGTATCAACTACGCCAATCAAACGAGTTTTTGTTCGTTTCATCCATCTTATTTATGCTATATGTAAGTGTAGATTGCGTAAAGGAAAGATTTTTTTTAACTGAGGGATCAATGACCTCACAACGCGAAAATCTAAGTTCTTTATTGCATTTTTCGCAATGCTAAGCGCCATCTAGTGTGCATACTATAATTTATAAAACATCTTAAAAAGAACATTTAATAATGAAGAGTTGTAACGGGAGATGTTGCCTTTGCTCTTAAAATTTTTAGGTTAATAACTATTTTTAGTGGTAGCCTGTGCACTCAAATATTGTTGTGTTGTTATGTATGCCAACTAAACAAAATAAAAATAATGAGTATCGATAAACATTTTCGGGATATTTTTACACAACATTATCTAGTCCCAAACTAAGCAAATCTTGTACTATGGGTCACTGGTAAACATATTTTTAATTGCATGTTTAACCCTTTTTACACACCTTAAATATATTAACTGTGGTAGGGCTATGCAACAATGTTCACTGTTGCACGAATGGGCAGGTCCATCCGGGTTACCTCACAGGAGACCGCCGTGAAGTAGAAGCATTACACTTCTTAGTTTCGTCTGGTGAGTGAGGTAGGCGGGCCCGCTTTAGTAAAAGGCAACGCATCTGTAACCATACAGGTGTTGCAAATGTCCATGGGCGGCGGTTATCACTTAATATCAGGTAACCGAACAGGTCGTTTGCCATTTTGTCGCATAAAAAAATCCGAATGCATGAATTTTTTGAATTTGTGAATCTAAACCATTCTCGAATACACTTGAACAGGCACAAACTATTTATCAAATCAGTCCAGCCGTTTTGGAGGAGTTCAGTCACGCATACACACATAAAATAATTATACATATATATAAAGATAGAAACTACGATGCCCATACACTAGGAAAACAATATTTTTAGCACACAATATTTTTCCAGTAGTGGGGATCTCTTCCTATCCACACTCTTTAGCGCTAGAGATCGGTCCACTGTCCATTACGCCAATCGTGTTTCCAAATTAAAAAAAAAAAAAACATTTTAAGTTTTATCTTGAGTGCAGGGACTAGCACTAAAAATATTGACCTAAAAATATTCTTAACATGCAAAATAACTTGCTTTTTGAATTCTAAATGACATTCGGCTGCACTGTTTGAGTCTTATTGCACCTTTCTGTATGGTATTGTGTAAGGTAAGGTAATTTAATCTATACCCAAACAAAGGTTACGCTCTTGATTGGATAGATAAAGGTCAAGAACATGGAGGGACGTATTCTAATATTTCGGCAGACCTTTAGTCTGTCTGTGTGCGTGTTATTTAACATGGGCTTTAACCAAGTGACTGAAGCCGCCAAGTAATTCTTGAGCTTTTTCAAGTGTTGGTTTATTAAACACTGTTATGTTTTTGTTCTGAAAATTTTCTTTGTCTATTCTAAAGTCAAAAAAAAGATGATTGTGCGCTAACAAGTATTATGGTAAAAAAATCATTTTCGTAACGATAGAAAAGATATTTTAATTCGCAACAATTATTTTAGTCGTGATTTTAATATTCTCGGTTGAGAAACCGTTGTTTGGATAAAGCTGTCAGTCAGTTTGAAACAGAATGTTGCTCTGAGGGGAAACCTTGAGTTCGCAATTTTATTTGCATATAAAAAATACTGTCAACTAATACAGATTAGAGTGTTGCGCAGTGGGGCAGACGCTGCAGTGTGATCTTGGGCCAAATGCATAATTTTCGCGGAACCAGGTTCTGTTGCAATGTCTATATAATTTCGTTTTCGAATTATATTAACTTTAAATATGGTAATGGCATTATCTTATTTAAAAACTTAAATCATTTTATTAAAGCCATTCATATGATACTTTAAATGAAAAAAAAAAAAAAAAAAAAAACAAAGTTATCCTTTATGAAAAACTTTCGGGTTTTCCAATGGTAGTAAGTGCGAAGAATAAGCCATTAAATCCTCACTGACCATTACCTTAAAGTGAAAAAAGAAGTCAAAAAGGTTCACATGGTGTTAAAGGACAAAGCGGCCCACAAAAGCGGCTATTGTGTATTACAAACATTTTGTAGTATACATACCCTACATAGTCCTACTTAGGACAAACTACAAAGGGTCAAATAAAAAGCATCGCTTGGTAAAAATAAAAAATAAAAACTCAATATATTAAGCTATAAGGTACATTTGGTGTATGGCTGGCTTGGGGCTGTGGTCACCACCAGCCGGAGGAGATGTGCGACGGCTCGGCCACGATCTTGGACACCTTCACGATCTGCGGCACCGAAACAACCTTCGGCACGGACACCAGCTTGTTCACCGTGATCACCTGCACGTTGAAGGTGGACCATTGAGAATGCTGAAACTGTGCTAGGGCCAGCCAACAGCTTCGGCTGATGCACGAATGGGCAAGTCCGTCCGGGTAAGTACCATGACCTCACAGAACACAGCGTGAGGAGGAAGTGTTATACTTCTGCGTTTCGTCTATTGAGTGAGGCAGTCGGGGGCCACTTTATTAAAAGGTGCCAACGCGTCGGCAACCCTTCGGGTGCTGCAATGCAAATGCCACGGGCAGCGGTTATCACTTAACATCAGGTGAACCGCCGGCTCGCTTGCCACTTTCTCACATAAAAAAATACTGGTGGCTTAATGTCTCCGGACTTCAACCAGTGGTCTGCGTTCGTAACGTTCAATTGCTGTTGGCGCATGCAATTCAACCTTATGATCTGAACTATGACGTACATGACGTACATAAATTTCACTGCCGGCACAAATCTTTTTTTGGATTTCCATTTTCAACAGGTTTATAAGCGAATAGCAATTGTAAGAATGGGCAACATTGCCGAGCAAACTTTTATAATAAATGATAAATATCATGATTGAATTAAGTGCGGGTAGTAGGGTATTCATCTATATATTGTAGGGCACTTTGGAAAATCTATTATTTATGCAAAAGAACCGCTACATCATATATTAAAGTAGTCCAGAATAAAAAAAGAGAAAAATTGGTGGAACACATGGTATGAGATAATAGGAATCGTTCCACTCACTTTGGGCACTTCGACGACCTTGTTGACGGAGACGATCCTGGCGGCCGGCGCTGACTCGATGATGGCGCCGCCGTAGCCGCCGCCGTAGCCGAGGCCGCTGTACCCGCCGTAGCCGCTGTAGCCGCCGTAGCCGCCCAGGCCGCTGTAGCCGTGCGAGTCTCCCAGCAGGAAGCCGCGTTTGTCCCGCTTGCCCTCGGGCGCGGCCAGGGCAATGGCGGCGAGGAGCACGACACACGCCTGCACGTGGACAATGCGTCCATACCGTTACTCGGGCCAACACAAGTTGCTTTCACGCAGTAATGACAGGACGGTTGCTATCAATCTCAAGTGTTAAATACAAACTTAAAAAGTCATGGCGACTCAGTTGGCGCAGTGGATAGTAACACTGTCCTTTGCGCAAATGTGGGTTCGATCCCGACTATCCTTTGTGAACATAGTGTTTTTCTAGTGTCTGGCGTGTTTATAATTCTGTTATGTGTATTTATTTATAAAAGAGTTTTAAACGTTTAATTATTTTGTACCCATATTACAAGCTTTGTTTGGACTTAGCTTAATTTTGGCCTAGATAACATTGTGTAAAAACATGTTCTGAAACATTTATTTATTATTTGTTATATACTACCAGTCTACATTACACCTCCACGACTGTATCAATTGTTCTTTAAGCCCTATTATCTTAGAATGTGATGGAATAATCATGCCTTTAATAGTGAGTTAGCGTTAAAAAAAGGAATATTCCTTACTGTGAAATTTAGAAAAACACCAGTATAAATTCTATTTATTAAGTTATTCAAAATACATTTTTTTTATCTAAAAAAGAAGTTATATTGTTAATTACAAGTTTCAATCGAAAAGTAATACTTAAAACATGTCGTTGTACGCAGCAAGCGTTTTTATGTTCAGAGTTGATTTTATAAATAGTGAGGAGCGTATCGGATCGTAAATCTTATCCGTCCTTACGCAACGAAGCCGACATCTAAGTTGGCTGTTATTACTATCTAACGACTTCAATACAAATGTCAGTTGAATTTCGAAAAAACAGGTTTGACTTGCGAAAATAAAGTTAATTGAGAGCACTTACATTTTTTTATTGTGTGTTAAACTAAATAAGACTAAATTAATTTTGATTTTTTAATAAATAGTGACAGGGTTTATACATATATCGATAAAATTATTTGTTCTCCATGTATAAAGCCTTCCAGCATCAGCCACTTTCATCATTCACGTCTCATTTTGATCGAACAATTAGGTATATCATAAAATATAATTGTAATAAGCGTAGGAATCTGTGGAAATCGGGTGTCCTAAATGAGAACAAATGTGTAGAACGTTGTGGTCATCAGGCAATTTTAATATTTTTTTAAGGCATCCGCTAACGCTTAAATAATGCAATGTACTCACGAAGGTTTTCATTTTGATATCGGTTGTGATGATTGGTGCTGTGGTGTGGAACGACGTTGGAGGGCTATGGGCACTGATGCACCGACCAGGGAGTCCAGTAGTTTTATACGGCGCGAGAATACAAGGTCATGAATTTTGCAAACGCGAGCGACGCCGAGAAATTGCGCAAGCGAACGATCTTATTAGAATTAATTACGCGCGTGCGTAGATATATCGCTTCCATTATTTTTAAATTTTGTTATTGATTGTCTAATAGCGGTGGTAGAAGTGTGAGCTTGGCCCAAATTTTCCCGGCCGGTTATGTCGATAGCCATCGTTAATTACTATGGTTCACTTCTATAGTTGATTTTGCACAATAAGTACCTACGCAAACTTGATATTGTATTCGTTTTCTCGTTCTGGCCATAACATAATCAAATTACACATTACAATTTTAATTTTAAATAAAAATACCTTTTTTTATCATAAACCAGATTTGCTCCTATAGGTAGGATATGTAATAAAACTGTCTAATGTGAAAACATATATTGAAAAATTTGAAAATATTATGTTCTTCTATCTTGAAGGAATGTAGGAGACACAGACGTATATATTTAAGTATACACTGTCAGGCACTAAAGTATACAGCGTAGAAAGAAAAGTCTGAAATCCATTAAATGCCTCGCAGATATGTGAAGAATCGGGTACCAAGCCTTGCGTACTGGCTTCAATTCAAGCGCGGGAGAGATGTTAAATTTTTTAATTTAAAAGCATATAGTAATTTTATCGTGCAGTCGAGATATTTTGAAAAATTAGGTTGGCTTTGCAGTTGATATCGATGAGATGCAACTTGATAAACCGAGGACGTAGTAGTTCGTTCTAAGATTTTGATCTGCTGGGATTCGACAGACTTAAGTTTTCTACAGGCCCAAATTTGCGCCAGTTATTTTTTGTGTGAGAAGGTGGCAAGCGAGCTGGCCAGCAGCCGCACAGGTCCCCGAGGGCCGCGGCTCCCTAAGACTCCCTAAGACCTCACTAAACGAGACGCAGAAGTGTAACACGTGTCTGTACCACGTGGCCCTACCACACGGGAAGGTTACCTTCTTTAGCTGCACGGTTGCTTCATTATAACCTCAAAATCAGGAAAAATCTTCCTTCTTCTTCAGTTGACACCTATCGAAAATGATTTGTATACTATACCTTCAAACTAGTTTCTTAATAATTATGTTACTATGCTAAGGGCTCGGTCGAAGTAACAAGTAAGGAAAACATGAATAAAATATTAACGTTTTTATTGTTAGATGAAATATAAGCATATAAAATATAAGCATTATAAGACATAACGCGTGCGGTTATGTCTTAAAAAAATATGAGGTGACTGTTTCTTCAGGATTTTTATTTCTATCGTTGTTATTCACCGGGGTTAAGAATTTTAGAAAGAAACTGTGTAATCAAAACAAATCTTCTGTAAGGCAAGGTTAAAATGTTAAGTAATCTGTTAAATTTTTTTATGGCTTCTTGGCATCCTAGCATCCAGGTTAGGGCCTGGCAGCTGTTACAAGTTTCAACCCTCAAGTTCGATGACCGTTACCGGCAATAATGAAATTGTAAACTGCAACCGTAAATGCGGATTTACGTGACGGGTTGCAAAGTATATCAACTTGCAGCCTCATAAATTACTTCAGTTAATTATGTAGTGTTTACGCTGTCTTGTACGTCCTAAAGATATATTGCGGTTTTGTTGCCTTTAAAGGTGCTCCTTTGGCACGCGCTATTGCCATATTTGCAATAGTTTACAGCAAATAGAGAAATCACTAATGACCGACTGATACACAAATTTCCGACCACTACATTATCATTAACGTAGTTACGATAATAATGAAAATGTTCTAGATTATGTTCATCATTTAGGTATATATTTGGTGTGCAGAGATGCTTGTATAATATGATTCCAGGAAGATGATAATCTAGCAAATGATCTTCTACCTATATCCATCCATGATTTTAGCGTTTTAAATTTGTAATCATAATTTTTTTTTAATTTATTATTCAATATTTACAACGTTAAATCTATCTAAATTATATATTATCTAATAATAATAAATTTAGTCCATTTTGATACAAGATTTTAGTATATTTACAAGACGTGCAAAAAGCAAAATACTATTTGAGAAATTATAGATTTCATATCAAATCATATGACCTTATATCAAAACAATGATTAAAAATATCATTGTAGAATTTGTTATATACGGGACCGAATTCAACACTTTCATCTGGTACTTAAAGAATGTTTTACTGGAAAAGATCAGAAACATAAAGTAGACCAGGAAATATGGACTTTCGACATCATGGTCACTAAAACTACGGAAAATCAGTCGATATGATCACATCACACCATCAACTTTGTTGGTTCGTATCACATTTAAGAAACTGTTGGATATTTCGGAAAATTCAGAGTCCTAAAGTATATTTAAGTAGACGTACTCTCGAAGCTCACAAAACCCAAAAAATAACTGTAAGACACACAAAAATTGCGAATTGTAGTTTTAAGTCTTACATAAGCGACTCCATGGTCTAGATGTTGTAATGTACAAATGTTGTTTAGAACAGGTCGGGCTCGGTACGCTTGCGGGGTCGTAAACGGCAGGCGGATTCTAATTATTAGCGGAGGATTTGCAAGCAAGAGCAACCGACGCCTAGTAATTTAATAACACGTGGTGTAGTATAGAGAGCGCGTTGGGTAATGCGAGGCGGGGACACTTGATACTGACCGTTTGTTGGCGGCAACGGTGCGTGTGCCGCAACTGCAAGCGGATCCTCATGAAGCCTCTTTTACTTCGACCACCTCAGACCTATGGCCGAATCTAATGTTTTCAACCGACTTTAGAAAAGGAGGAGGTTGTCAGAACGTTCGCCTGAGTGAACCGATTTTGATGATACTTTTTTTTTTCAAAGGTGGTGCTTCTCAGTTAGGCCCGCATTAATTTCGTTTATTGGATCTTCTGAACTTCTGAAAAGCAATTATAAAATAAATACAGAGCGAGATATTTGAAGTCGGTTTTGTTTTTCGTAAATAAAAATATGGACCTGTTAAGAAACATTAAACGATCATATAATTTATAAAAATGAAGTATTCGATACCAGAAATGGCATTTAAGGCATTTTGGCATTAAGATACTGTTCAAGTTTATTTGGCTTGTGAGGTGGTTAAAATCGTATGGGTCACAAAAATAGTTGTCCCGTGTGGGAATCAAACCCGAGACCCACAGCACTGTACCTTAGCAACCTAGGCAATTGCACCACTGAGTCATCAAACACAATAATACCTAGATTGGTAGGATTTTAACAGAGACCAACGGACGGACAAAATGTATACTCACACACCAATCAACTATTGGATGACACAAACATTGGCATCCGTGGGGGAATGATGGAGCCAGTCGTCAGCACGGCACGCGATAACAGCCGAAGTGGAAGTGGCCGGTGAAACCGTTGCGGCACCGGTGCCTAATGTGTGGGATCCCAAATTAACGGACCGTCACTAATTAATTGTTTAAACGGCGAAAAGTTGCAAATGCCTGTAGTCAAGTAATCAACTAATTTGTCAATGCTGGATTTTAGAATTAATTAAAATTAATGATTTAAAAAAAAAATTCAAATTGCATATTGCATGTATTTAATATAAATAAATTCATCATTTGTCAAACATCATTAAGTTTAAGTTAACATCTGTTTAACATGCAGGTTCTAAAATTGATTAACTTCCGTCGGGAATTGTTTCAAAATCCGCTCCGCGCCTGTACCCGCTAACAGGCGGCCGCGCGACGAGGATTGCATTGAGAGCAATAAAGAGCATACACGTAATCCGTATTATTCTACTAACCCACCATAAACATGGCAGATTGCTACAGAATTACTATCACACTATCGCAGGAGCATCACCATTAAATAGAAAAAATAAAGCAAAATCGCCAAAAAGCAAGTACATACATTTTGTATTCATTTATCATTTTGCTCTTGCGAAAATTTAACAGCATTTTTGTTACACACTTAACAAACTCACATATTTGGAGTAGTAAATTATTACTTTATTATTCACGACGGTAGTAAACCTAACTACCTTTTAAGTTATCGCCAATGACTATGCGAATAAGAGAAAATATTATTTTTATTTTAATTTTTTTTTAGTATTCAGTACGATAATAAGTGAAAAGCGAATAATTTATTTTTGTACTGGCTACGGGTCCGGTAAGGAACTTTTGAAAATGAGTGAATAATATCATAAAGTAACATTAACTTCAACTAATTTAAGACTGAGATTACAGTTTTAAATTAGTTGCTTGTAAGACTTATGGATTACATGGATGTGCTGTACGCTCACAATTCTTTGGACAAATTTAAAAGTCTTTAGTTTAGTTTTAAGAACTTTTAAACTTTAACTTTTGAACCTTTTGTTACTTTTATTTCACATAACAATAAACATTCACTTAAATGTAAATACGTATAGTATTCAGTTTATTAATTGTAATGCGAAATTATTAATTGCATATCGGAATTAAGACTGGTTTAAGACATTTGTTTTAATTACCCCTAAAACGACTTACAATTATTGCATTACAGTTACAGTTTCGTATAGAACAGATAACTCAAAGATCGTCTAAACTGTGTACCTACTTATGCGTAAGACAGAGAAGAAATTTTAAAAATTTAGTTACGTTATATTTTCGGTGCAATTAACTTTATATTTAGGTCACCCACGAATGGATTAGAGCTTTTAAATATTCAACATAAATTTGCTCTTTTCGAACTAATTATGATGAAATTTATATTAATTTCAGTGGACAATAGTTCGACGCTAATAATGGAAAATGAACAACATAATACAAAAACATAATATTCCTTTTTAATTGTAATATCTCATGCTATGCCGGTAAATGAATTAGCTGTTATGGCTGGGCAATAATTAAAAAGATATCGAAAGCTACGAGTAAACCAGTAAATGAATATTGAGGATAAGCCCATATTTCAACAACCAAGATCGAATAACTTGAAGTAATAAAACGTGCAATAAACTCTGCCATTAATTATTTCCTAATTCGTGGGAAAAGAATTCTTTTGAAATTGTAACAGTTCCATTTTGAGTATATTGGGTAATAGTTATCGTAAGTGTCTAAAAATAATCTATTCTGAGTATTTTGGTAAAAACATCTTAGAATTTATATAATTTATACTTTTTTAGCGTAGAACGCTCTCAGTCATAAAGTGAAAAGTAACCTTACCCTTGCTTGAAGATGATGAAAAAAAAAAAAAAACATCACAGCCCGCTTTAGTAAATGGCCTACATAAGGCACTTTCAGTGTTAAATGTGTGAGTATCCCGTCTTGTGTTGACTTTATACCCTTGGTTTCCCCGTAAAATTAAGTTTTTAAACAAATGTATCCTTGCCTTATTTATTTCAATTTTGCCTAAAGCAAGATTAACAATCGTATGTAAATCAATCGAATGTATTATTTTGATACATTCTCGTATAACTTGTGAAGCGAAGAAAGATAAGTAGCTAATAATAGACAAAGTTAACCTTGGAAACTTATTTCGGTTGTGGTTATAAAAAAACATATAAATAAAATCATAACCTCCCACGTACAAAGTTGTAAAGGACGTTATGATTTTAAACTTTATTTATGAAGAAAAACTAGATGAAATGGATGAACAATTATGAAGTGTGCTTCTATCTTTACTCACTTAATTGGTTTCCAGTAGAGGAATTATTAATGAAGAATTATATTGTAATTTTGTCTATGTCAAAACAAATATTGTCGCATATGTATAGCAAATACGTTTTTAGCTGTATAATCGTCAAAGGCATTATTATACATAACATGTTTATAAAAAGTTGTAAATACCTGTATGTAGGGTATACCCATTTTATTTCCTTTTTATAATATGCTATGTGAGTATAGCGGTGTATGTGGTTTATTTTTTTATTCGTTTTACATATTTAAATAATAATTTATCGATTGGTCACAATTAATATGGTTAGCCGTAAACAAAGTCGCTTAAAATGTATTACGTAATACGAGACACCGTCTGACGTATTGGATTATAATATACAGGTTTATAAAATCTTGATTGTAATAAATTAATGTGGCAGGGTGTGACCGATGAGCTGGCCTGTTTTTAACTGGGTCTAGGTTAAAACGGAGTCATATACCTATATAAATGTTAAAACATTTTGACCTTCGAAATGTACGAAGATATCATACATACTATTCGTTTATATTTTATTATTTTTTTACTACTTATCTAAAAAAAAGCTTTTAATAAAAATGTATTTATACACAATCTGTTTTAAATAAGTTGAACCTTTTGAAATGTTAAGTAATTATAAATTAGAGAGATAAAATGTAATTTAAAAATTAATTTTTTTTAATTCCATCCATCACGAGTGCAAAGCTCACCTGATGGTAATTGTGATCACTCAGCCCAGCCCATGGACATCTGCAACAACCCGAGGGCTTTACAAATGCGTTGCCGGCCTCTTTTCGTCGGAAAGACCGGCCCGCACAGCTAGGTTCCACAGCAGGGGTTATTGCATCGGCGTAACACTTTCGTAATACGTCCGGTCAATTACCTAATGATTGATATATTTTAGCAATAGAAAGTAAAATAACCTTACAAGGCATCGCGTCTGTTTGCATTATTGTAAGTTGACATTGGCAATAAAAATATTTTATGTGTTGTTATAACATAAAATCACTATCATTAATGTTATTATTGAGGAGTCCTTCAGCCCACTAGCAACCCGCTCTAAGCACTGATTGTGAAGCTTTTGAGGTGTATATATATCCTCATAATATACAGATTTCAATGAGACTAAAACATTTTGTACTTGTGATTTATTTTAATTTTATCAACTTTGCTATGTCATATATTGTTCATAGAGCGTAAAAAGACTATGGTCATCGTACTTTCTGCCTCAAATAAGAATGTTTATCTTGTTATCTTTAAATTTGGTTTTCCCACAGTGTCTTGCTTTGGGTATGATCTTAAATAATAATAATAGAATTGGTTCGAGAAATTCGTTGTGTTCTTTTGAGATGTGGACTCCACTAAAGATGTTTCAAATTTATTCAATTCCTATTATTTTCTGATTCTGTATCCGATTTTACAAGGATTTGGGTCTGGACCGGAGGAGAGCTAGTTTTCTTGTCGGATGAAGTAAATTTTAACACGCCGTGTTTCGCGTGCGCCTACCAGTTTTACGTGCTATTCGCTCTATGCGCTGACGCAGAATCTTTCTGGAATACCCAGTGTTTATTGTTGAAAATAGTATGAGAAAGAGGTTCCACAAGTGTTTGTGAGGACTGTATGTATTTTGATACACAACTTGATCCGTTTTTACGCCATGTCACAAAAATATACCTCAGTTAAAACCGAATATGAAACTAAGATAACTACCCAGCCAAACCATGAGCGTGACTCATGTTTTGGCTGGGTAGTTATATTATGGTTTTTGAAAATTGCTCGCTTCTTAACTGTTGGGCGTAAGCCTTATGATTTTGTTTATTGTAGCTCTCCCGCACAGTAAACAATATTTTCATCCAAAAAAAAATTCACGGTGTATAGTTTTCTGCGCACCGTTGCAACAAAACGCGGGATCTCTTACGTCTCAGGTCACGACGAAATGGCGTGACGGTCAAACGCGCATCCAAACGATGGCCTGATTTTCTTCTAAACTCCATCAGAAGGGCCGACAGTTTCTACGTACTCTTGGGGTTTGCGTCTTTACAGCTTTTTGACTCCTGGAGTCCTAATATTGCGG